CGGGTGTTTATTCAGGTAGAGGCAGAGAGTTCTCGCCGGGTGTTTATTCAGGTAGAGGCAGAGAGTTCTAGCCGGGTGTTTATTCAGGTAGAGGCAGAGAGTTCTCGCCGGGTGTTTATTCAGGTAGAAGCAGAGAGTTTTCAACCGGGTCTTTAACGCGTGTCGGGTCTGAAGTTCTTTCAAAGCTGAAGCTGATTTAAGATTCTTTAAAGCTTCCGACATAACTTAATTTCCAGCTGTGTTTACTTTTGACAAATCCAATTCTGTCATGTTGTGTTTTCACAGTTTGATGTATGCGTCTCCGAACTGATCGAGTTTACCCGTGTATTGGGACCGCTTACAACACATATAACTGACGTCGATTAGCAATCGGGGATGAATTAACAGTTTGCCCTGCATGTGTTTTGAAATTCCGTGGAAGAACTCGATAAAGGTGTTACTGGGCGCTGCAAGTTTACTAATGCGAGCGAATGGGGATAGCATAGGTGGAGAGGGAGTGAAAGTGTTTCATGACTTCATCAGGCTACATTTGACGAAGCGCATTCATTTCCGTCGTAGGTCGTGGTTTGATATAGAAGCAGCTGCAGCCGTTATCGGATGCCACACACTAGACATGAAGTTTGAAATTCATCAGCTCAAGTGCTGCCACCTGGTAGAGGTTGACGACTGGGCTCGATTGGAATCATACAGAGTATGTCTTTATTTATTGACAATCACTTCATATCTCTCTTTTTCTTTTTGAATGACAAACGCAATTTTTTCCGTGGTGTCACACGTATGTATCTGACTTAGTAATCTAGCTAACTTACCGTGGCTTTGCATGGTATTGTAAAAAAATGCCGTGTCACTACGTTTGATTAAAAGTGGATATATTGATAAAATTTTTGCTTTTGCAGGGTAGTGAGGGCATCGAGGGTGAGGCGCGCTATTGTTTGCACGCAGTCACGCGCACCTTTCTGTCTCACTTACGGAGGAAACCGGAAGTGGCCGCTCTATTCACACAAGCCGAGCAAAATTTCACCCAACATTTCTGGCACAGGCTGGAGAAAGTTGGAAAGCTTGCTCAGGATAACTGCCTCAGTGCATTAGGTATCGATGGATTTATCATTTTGCGATATCTAACTCGACTCTTTATGTATGTATCGTCAGACTGATTAATTTTACTAGTTACTGTTAATTTGCTATATGTTTTTGTTTCGATAGGATCAAACCTTTTACTCGCACAGTGGTTTATAGTGCTAAACAAACCATAATACCTTTGCTTTCAGGGTTGATAGAGAACAACAGAGTTCACTTTGACCAGTGCTTTGGCATGATGATGAGAGAGGGTACTGTACCTGAGATGGCGGGAAAGAAGGAATTCCACAAACAATATGGAGCTTGCATCGCATTGGAGTTGTTTTTGGAAACTCCCAGGCGCTTGCAGCTATGTCAGAATATATCCGAGTGTGCTTTTAAGCAAGGTATGAATTTATTCTCACACCAAACCCACTATTGCTCTCTGCCTGAAGTTTAAAGCAATCTCTAAGTTGTTGAATTTAATTTTCTATATCTGACAATAATATAAACATTTTCAAACGTCACGTAGTTATTTTCTGGAACAGAGTGTTGCTGTTAATATAGATTCGCACGTGTTTTTGTGTGCAGGCAACAAACTAACTTACAGCTTCTACAAGGCGTGGGAGGCTGAACATGTTATCACACAAGCTCGCTACGGAAAAGCTCTTCAAATCCTTGAGAAGCCATCCGGAGTGCTGGCTGAAGTGGAAAAGCAATCAAGTTTAACAGATGGTGGCAAATTGGTGAAAGCGCTGATACACTATGTGAAAGGTATACCATGGTTGACACCTTTATTGCACAAAGTGCCTCTTCTTTCTCGAGCAGTACTGGAAGTAACATCATACCATCAGATACCATGTATACACAACGAGGCTTTAGGCATAGTTTAATCATGATGTCGTACTGATTCTCGTTAAGACTTTCATTAAAAAAGCTCGATGTTTTATCAGCAAAACCTTTCTAGGTTCCCTGAATTGCTACAGTGACGTACTAGTGGAGCTGTAGTCGAGTCTGTCACATCGCAGCTCTTGTTACCACCACACCTCGATCGTCTCTTACAGGCATGTTGCGGCGATCCATTCACCGTGTTTTCTGTCTGACGAAACGCTTCGCCATGTACCCCACGCCACCGACACACACGCACAAACACGTTCATCATCATACATTTTTCAGGGCGGGCGCTAGGCTCCCTGAATCGCTACAGCGACGCGCTAGTGGAGGTGAAGTCCGGTCTGCGCGCATGCCGGGCTCTGTCGCGTCGCAGCTCCTTCTCAGCCCGAGTCACCAACCAGCTCGGACATGTCTACTTCAACCTCGGCGAATACTCGGAGTCCCTAGACTGCCACCTGAATGCCTACGAGATGCTGGTGGGCGAGACTGGCGCCGACCTTCAGCTGGACGCGCCCACCTACCTGATGAACATAGGCACGGGTGAGCGGCGACAGTCTTCATTACGGCTCAGCGTAGCAACTTGCGTGCGTGCTACATTTTTTTCCCGAAATTTCATGTAGAAATTCGTCGATGGACTCGCGCGTGAATAGATTGGCATCCATTCAACAACCGTTAGTAACGCACATCGAGGCGTACGCATGTTAAAGATTTTCACGTAGAAAGCTCATCGATGGATAGATCGGCGTGTGACCATGACCGCGACCATCCATTCAACGACCGTTAGTAACGCACATCGAGGCGAGTGTGTGTTAAAATTGTTAGAAATTTAATGTAAAACGTTCGTCGATGGACGCACGTGGATAGATCGTGATCGTATTGGTGATCGTGATCGTATTGGTGATCGTGATCGTGATCGTATTGGTGATCGTGATCGTGACCATCCATTCGACGACCGTTAGCGAAGCGCGTCGAGGGGTGCGTGTTAAAAAAATTTTAACGCGGAAAGTTCGGCGATGGACGGCTCGTGTAAATGCGTGCATGCACGAAGTCGTGCTTGCGTTGCTGACGAGTCCTACAGGAATCGAGACTTGTCGTAATGTTTATGTTCGATTCCCCGCCTGTTATGTCAGGATATCATCACATGGGAACCGATGCGATTAATGTGAGGCCGTTAGAAGCGAACGAGCATTTCAGGAGAGCGCTCGAATACTACGACCGCAGCCTTGCTACCGAGAAAAAGCTGCATATGGATGGCTACGTTAAGGTGTGCGTGCGTTTGTGTGTGTGCGTGCGTGCGTGCGTGGGTGTGCGTGTGCGTGTGTGCGTGTGCGGGCGTGCGTGCGTGCATGTGTGTGTTCAAGTACACGTTCATAACAAAGCATGTGAAATAAGGTTTTTAACAAGTGACCATCTTTATAGCATCCCTTTTCAACAAGTCCATTCACTCCATGTAAATATCATTGTTAGCACCTATATTGAAATATTTATGATATATATATATATTTAGGTGTTTATCTTACCATTCCTTTCTGTATCAACAGATGGCTTATATATATATGTATATATAAAATATAATAATAGCATGTAAGATATTATATATCTTCTTTACATGTTTGTATATATATATATATATCCGAAGTAGATAATAGGGAATTCCCTATTATCTACTTCTGATATATATGTATATATGCATGTGTGTATATTTGCACTGCTCTCCCTCTTGGCAGACTGCTCTCACTGTGAAGAACAAGGCGATGGTACTCTCTCACATGAAGCGCTACGACGAAGCCCTCCCCATGGCGATGGAGGCCGTCGCGATACGCAGACGACATCTCCACGGCAAGCACCCGGACCTCTCTCGCAGCCTCATCTTTGTCGCACAGATTTATTACGACGTTGGCCGGCGGAAGGCGAAGAGCAACGATAGCTGTGAGTGGCGCTGATATGTTTGTGCAGTCTAGCATCATTAGAGGAAACATTAATATTCCATAGCTTCTCCATTTATGTTCTTTAGTTCTACGACAGTTTAGCAGGTATTTTATTTTTCAGTAGTGTTGATACGCTTGTGCAGTTTAACATCGTTAGAGAAAAAATACATCGTAGGCCGTTGCTTCTCCGTTTATATTCATTAGTTCCACGAGAATTTAGCAGGTATTGTGGTCAGTACCAGTTAGAATGCTTCCAAGTTTATGCACTTTTTAATGAAAAATTGCCATTTTTTCAGTGGGTTTGCTGCACGTTTTAATGAAAAATCGTCATATTTCAGTGGGTTCGCTGGCAGAGTTTGAGAGAGCGGAGGCGTATTACCGGGAGGCGGCAGATATCGAGACGACGGGCAGAGCCGACCATGGCCTCCCTACGGCCGACTTCCCCGCCCTGAAGCGCGAATACCTCGACGTTCTAAAACGCCTCGGCAAGAGCACCGACCTTCAGAAAGCGCAGAAGATATTCCTGGTAATGAACGTGCTTGCATTCGCCAGAAAATGAGTAGTAGTAGTAGTAGTAGTCCATTTCCAGTTCCATTGCAGTAATGATTAATTGTTATAATCATCACAAAACCACGTTGCCTTGTAAAACCAACTATATATATATTGACGTGAATAAATGTAAAGAGAGAACAGATTTCACTGAGTACTTCCACTCATTTACGCAGATGGGGTCGTTGTCATATCAGGTACTACAGATATGTACCCGAGGTAGTTTTAGGTTGTTTAGTATTATGTTTATATTTTTATATGAGGTATGTTTAGGGTTAGGGTTAGGGTTAGGGTACACTTCTGTAGTACAAGTCTGGTAAACTTTATATATACATATATGTACCTTGGGTACATATCTGTAGTACCTGATACGACAACGACCCCTTCAGCAGTACTAAGCCGCATTGTTATAATCATCACAAAACCACGTTGCCTTGTAAAACCAACTATATATATATTGACGTGAATATATGTAAAGAGAGAACAGATTTCACTGAATACTTTACTATATTTTGTTACTATACTCATTTACATGCGCTGACCGTTATAGGATTTTGAGGCGAAACGAGAGCGACGCGTGCGTCCACGTAAGAGAAGCCAGGACAAGGCAGGTAGCCCAAGGTCAACCGAATCAGGGTCGACCAGTAGCAGCAGCAGTTACACCACAAGCTCAGAGGAGAGCAGTGAAGCAGCAGCTCACACGACACCCAGTGAGTACTGCATAGACGTGTGCGGCGGCCATTTTTTTTTTTTTTTTACAGCAACAGAATTTTGTCAAGCAACATATATGCAAACATAATAGCACAGCACAAGTATTTCATCATATTAGATATATTATTAATTTTTTTTTTTCTACAGCAACAGAATTTGTCAAGCAACATATATGCAAACATAATAGCACAGCACAAGTATTTCATCATATTAGATATATTATTAATTATATTATTATTATATTAGATATATATGTTGACTTTATTGTGTCCTATTACATGTACAGAGTGTAAGCCATTTCGTGCTAAGTAATTCTGTATATGTAACACGTTTGACGCACACTCCCAGTCGAAAAAAAAGACAATTTATTCGTCGTTTTCATTCGTTGGTTACTCCCGATCGGAAAATAAAGAAAAGCAATTCATTCGCCTTATTTCCATGTTCTGCCGTGGCTTGCTCCCACGTGGGGACCCACAGTTCATCGTCTGCTCGTGTTACAGGTGAGAAGCCACACGACGCCAGCATCTCCGAGGATGCGGAGGATCCGACGAAGGCCGGTGAATACGACGAGAACTCATCGTGGAACTGTGCCGTCGCGTGATCGCACGTCCCGCTTGGCTCTACTCACAGCGACGCGCAGTCCATCCCTGTCGTGTGTCTCCATCTCCTGAAGTGGTGTCACCATAAACGGGTAGATGTTATTAATGTTTACGCCTAGTCATTTGTTAAAGGATACGTTCAGGTTGTAGGTGGAATTTTGTCAAAATTTCAATATCTATTTTATTTGATAGATGGCGCCTCTGGGCAGCTATGTATGTGTAGATTATTATCAAGAGTAGATTGTGTTATTATCTACTCTTGTTATTATGTATGTGGTTTCCCAAACCAGTGGTATGTGTACCTGTCGGCAACCCTGAGTGTATCCTTAATACCAGCGTTCATCTGTATGTTGTAAATGTCAAGAATCCTAATCCAAGATTGTTGAGTTTGAGATGATGATCCGTAGAGCGATACGGCCGCTGGTGATAATACGTTGTAAAAAATGTATGAAAAGTGATGTGATGAAAAGGTTGTGTAATCATGGTAGGGTATATGACACTTACAGACAATTGTACTCATCTGTTAGTCATCGAAACTGCAGTGTATCATAAGAAAAGATTGTGTACCTGATGTTCTTTAGGGCAAAATGGTCGTTATTCACCATTACTAACTTTCTAACAGCCCCAGTAAATGTGGCACTACTAATCGTTGGAAGAAAGGTGAACGAGTACCTATTTATGTAACATTTTAATTTTCTGAATGAAATAAAGAAGTAAATTTCTGGTACAGAATGATGACAAAAAAGACGTGACAACTATGTCAGTATACATGGTATACACACATTGGATTAGTATCAGGGGAAAATTTGCCACTGAAGAATAGTTTGTATTGCTATATCCATTTATTTATCCCATGGCATTCATTTAATATATTCGTATATACCTATAATGCTTCGGCAGAGTAGAAAATGTGAACTCATCGAGAAGAACTATATATAATATATAACTATATAACTATTCTATTATAAATAATATAATGTTATATTTACATCGGACATATTTAGCGTATCAGCAAAGTTGTATAAAACTAGATATCATGTGGATTCAATGTTTGTTTTTATTAAGTGTTCTTACTGCCATTAGAAATCAATAATATCAAAACAACATTTGTGCAATAATGAGATTTCTTAACTGACTGTTAAGCGCCATAGTGTATGACTGTTAGAAAACGAGTCACTTTTTATTGTCTGATTCCAATTTCTGAATCTCAAGTGCGATCGAGTGTTTATAGAGTGTATATATACTTCTTTTACCTACGTGTTTTCGTCTTGCGTACCATTACATCATGAAGGCAATGCACGAATAAATGCTATTTGATTAAATCGTTTGCCGAAAACATTCTGGATAACTATCATTTTGTAATTGTAATTTTGTTACAGTGCAAGTTGCCTGCCAGACTGGCTGGCCGAGTGTCTGCCAACCTACCCTCTCTCTCTCTCTCGCCTCCCCCCCCTCTCTCTCTCTCTCTCTCTCTCTACCTCTCGCCTAGCTCTCTCTCCATCTCTCCTCATTTCTCTCCTCTCCTCTCTCTCTCCCTCTCTCCTCGTCTCTCGCCTCTCTCACTCTCTCGCCCTCTCAGTCCGTCTCTCCGTCTTCTCTCTCTCGTCGCCCTATCTCACTCCTCCTCTCGTCTCCCGTTTTTTCTCTTCCTCTTCTCTCCCTCTTTCTGCACCTCAGTCTCGGCTCGCCTGTTTGTTTCGACGACCACCCCCGCCACTTTTTCTCGACATAGCCCCTCTTCTCTCGTTCTCTCTCTCTCTCCTCGGCCCTCTCTCGACTGTCCTCTCCCTCGTGCGGCACTAAGGCTTGCCAGCCCACGTCGCTCTCTCACCGTCTCTGCTCCTTTCCTGCTTTCGTCTGCAATTCTCTCATCTCTGTCTCTCTCTCTCGGGTCGTCCCTCTCTCACTCTCTTCACCTACAAATTAATTCCCCTCTCGTGAGCTTATTTAAATCTCACTGTCTACCTGCCTCCCCCCACCCTTCGCGCTTATCCAGCTTCCTCCCGCGCTCTCTTCTACCTCCTCCCAGTCCACCTTTCTCCTCGGCTCCTGCTCCTATTTCTACCACTCGCTCGCTCTACTCCGTCCCTCCACCGTCTGTCCTCGCTCTCATTCCATCCCGCCCTCCCCCGCGACGCCCTCTCTTGGTGTCCGCGGTTCCCACGGCCCATTCCCCGGTCCGCTGCCTCCTCTCTCTCCTTCCTCTCTCAGCGGAGACCCCGCCGGCTCTCTCTCGCAACCATCCTTGATACTCTACCCTTCTCCTGCCCTCTCCACGCCCTGTCCTGCCCCCTGCATGCCTGTCACCCCTTCTTCTCTCCCTCTCGTAACTCGCTCCCTCCAGCCTCTTCTGTCCGTTCCTCCCCACGTTCTTCCTTGACTCCTCTCACCGGATAACCTCTCTCATTACTAGCCTTCTCGCTCCGTGCGTATCCCCCTCCAGCGTCCCGCCCTCCTCCTACAGGCCTTCTCCCCCCGTCCGTCGTTCCACCGTTTCCCGTCTCTCCTTCTCCCCACCCTTCCTCCGCCGTCTCCGCCCGTGAAACCGTCTTCTTCACCTCCTTACCCGTCGCGCCCTCCCCTCTTTCCTCTATCCTCATACGTACCAATTCAATCTCTCATCTCCCATCGCTTTTTCCCCCCCCTCCTCGTTACCGTCGTCTCCTTGCTTCTTCACATACCCCTTTCCCCGTGCGTCTCTTCTGTCCCCTTCTCCCCCCGATTCCTCCGTCCTTGTACCGCCATTGGCTCCGCTTCCTTCCGACTCTCTCCATCATCCTGCCTCCACTTCTCCCGCCCCATGCTCGTAGTCTCAATCCTCTTCTCTCTCCTCTTCTCACTCTGCTCAAGCGTTCTCTCTGCTGGTCCTGTCAGTGCCTGCCGGCAACAATCCGCCTCTGTTCCTCACTTCTCCGCCTTCCCTCTCCCTCTCTCTCGAGCCTTCTCCTCTCGACTTGCGGTGCAGCACCCTTCTTTGTTCAGTAGTAAGTTGCTCTCTATCTTAATGAATACCACTCATACTTCTCTCCTACTTTCTTGCTCCCCTCTACCCCTCCTATTCCCCTCTGGATGGGGACAGACCCCAGTACCTCACCATCGTCAACACATCCTCCGACGAGGCACAACGCCCTTCGACACGAGCGTCTAAATCATCGCTGAAGGAAGAGTTGTGGACACCACTGTATCAGACATTCACACTCCTTGATCCCTCGAAGGAGCCGTAGTCTTATACCTTCTTTATTTTATAAAGTGAAGATGTCTCAGAACTGGGCGAATCGCCTTCGAACGCCTAACTCGTCCATCCATCCTCTCACTCGTGTGCGTGTGCGACCAATCTTCACTACACGTCCTCCTGCCTCCTAGCGCTTCACTCAGCCTCCTATATCTCCGTCAACCCTCGCGACCGCTACTCTCATCGCTAGTCCTTATCCTCCGTCTAGCCCGTTCTTCCTTTCCACTAGCGCCGCTTACGGCGGTCTGGTTCCTCCATCGAACCTTCTTCTGCTCGCACGTTCCTCTACTGCAACTTCAATCACTTTATCTCTTTACTCAACCCATGAGCGGCTTGTTGGCCATCCGTAATTCACCCTATCAAGACGTTTTTCAACGTGGTTCATCCTCCTTTTCCCAGCGCGTTGTACTATCTTATCATATTCCATCATTTAGAACCTCTTACGAGCAGCTTTTGATCATCTTCATGTCCACGCTCCACCGCCGCTCCATATCACACATCCACGACAGTATTGTTCTCAGGTCGATCTCGATTCCAAAGACATATTCTCTTGGCTCTGTCCCATCTCTAACACACTCATTGTATTCACCTTACACTTTCTCATTGGCACTTATTCCTCACAGTCTACCCCAGCTAGGCTCCCCTACACGCCTTCGCGTCTTGCGTCGGTACTGCGCTGTGCGGCTCTCTAGTCGTTCTGCTCATTTCACCTCTCCCTCCTCCTCCTCGTGCCAAGTAACCTGTAGCCAACACACACTGCGGCGAGAATTCTAAATATAATACTCCTATGCGTCACAGCGTGAGCAGTAAAAAACTGGTTGATACCATGACTGCCCCGCACTTTCCCTGAAAGACACCGTAGTCCTTCTATATCCTCTTTAATACCGATTTACTTTCCTATACTACGCTCCACCTCTTTGCTCTATACTTTATTTGTGACTGCCCACCGCGGCCTGCGTGTGCGTGCTAACCCTGATCCTTTGCCCAACACGCGTGACTTCCTGTGATCTTTCTAGCACAATGCTTTCCCACGAGTTGGCGCCATCTCTCAAATACCCTACGTCAAAGGATCACTCCGACTAGTTCCACCCTTCTCGCGCGCATGTTGCGTATCCATTGTCACCAGGCCAAATTTTACCTCCCTTGGTCTCACTGCGCCCTCACACAACCCGCCGTTGCCCGGTTCTCGGCTCTTATACCTCCCACACTCATCTTTCATTCCAGCGCGTAGCGCAACTCCCTCCTCCCTCTCTGCCCGCAACTTCTCTCCCCCGAAATGATGGCCCTCTGCTCCCTCTATCAATTCACCCACCCTTTTCTCCTCCTTCTCCGCTTTCCCCTTGGCTTCCTTCACCTTTAGTCTCCCTCCCGCCCAAATCCGTCCTTCTCTCCTCCCTTCTCTAACCTCCTTTCCCCCACCTTCTCCCTATCCACTTTCTCCCCCTCTTATCCCTTGATCCCTACCCTATGGCTATGTCCATAACCAAATCTAACTATATCCTCCCGCTCCCTCTCACGAACATAATACAACCATATTCACCACGGCATATTTCAACCCGGTCTTCTTGCGTCTTCTCCAACACGTCACAATGCCCCAGTCGTCACAGGATCTGCGTCATACATTACCTCTTGCCCGTCGGACAAACTGATCAAGTTTTCCAGATATATTATATGTCTATCCTCCACTCGGTACTCCGGTTTGCCCGTATTCCATTCTTGTCTGTCTACAGGTCTCATAATTTGCAAATGGTGTTCCCAGTCGTTGCGTCGGCTCGAAGCAGAGCGGATCCGTCTCTTTCTCGCATTATCTACATCATCTACTTTCCATCCAGCGTACTATCTTAGCACTATCGTCTATCACCCGCGAGGTGACACTTCCATAACCACTTCTCCTACTCGCATTCGTTCATATCCACTCACCACCAAAGTTGTACCAGCACCTTTTCTCGTCAACTCACCTAGCGAAGTGTCTCATCACTACACCCACTAATCCTCTACAACATCAACCACGCTTACTTATTATTAAAACTACAAAACATGATAATACGAACACTCCGAATTAGGCCGAACCTGCATAACTCGGTTACTATCTCATCTGTGTACTTTATCCATCGTATAACAAGACTCAATAAATGGCGACTGTCTAACCTTATAGAGTACTAGTCCAACATATTCTCTTATTATGGGGTGTAGTATATCTTATTAAATCAAGTATTATTATACGACAAGGTGAGATAATGTATTACATGGTCAGCAACTATTGAGGTAATTGTTATGCGTAACAATACCAGCCATCATGCGAGACGCAATTGTTTGTCTGCACAAGCCATTGTAGATGCATGAGTGGGGTCTTGTGAGATATGTTTGCGTCACTGGCAATCTTTCTGGCGCATGATCGCAACAAGCATGTCTAATCATTAGTATCTAGGAGTAAACTATCTGAGTACGAGTTATTATAGGCAGTCACGACTAGATTGCGCTAATCTAGTGAGTCTGACATGATCAAGACACTCACAATCGGTGAACCTATTCACCCTAGCAGGAGCAAACAATATATCCAATAATTATTACGCTGATCCCTCTATCAAATGCGGAAATGGTTATCAGCACCAACTGTGAGAGCTAAGTCGCGAAAAGTACAAATGTACGCCCAGCAAAAATTAGTGGATAGTCCGCTTTACTAACTAATCGCACGGTTGAGTGGTCTTCAGTAGATTGGTTCTGTGGAACACACCAACAAAAAACGACCTCATGCCTCTTTCCTACACATCTTGAGTGCACACTTCTCCTCACATTCTTCTTCTTCCTCTCTTGTCAACATTTCTCGAGATCTGACCACGATCTTCCTTCTGTGGGGTTGACTCAGTTTCCTTCGACCGTAGCATATCGCCCCGTCCTCAAAACCTTACTTTATTTCCAATTAATCCTCTATAGCCACTTCTTGCATTTCAACTCTGTGACGACACTTATTTTTACTGCCCATCGCTTCTACTATCTAGACCTGACACTTCCTCCCCCGATACCGCTTCCTCAAGCAAGGGCGGACACCACTTGCGTCCTACTTTCACTTACACAAACCTTGACCTATCTCCTTTAACTCCTCAAACTTCCAGCCGCTCCGCACCTTTGCCGCGTCGCGACCTCATCCACCTAGCGCATCTCGCCCATTCGAAGAATTGCGCTCATAGACCTAATGACCCTTTAAAAGCCACTTCGCCATATCGTCTCATTCTCCACATACGCCTTCGAAAACTATAGATTAATCTACTCTATCTTTTATCACTCCTCTTGCACTCGCTTACTTGCCATTAATTTGGACCTCCTACACACTTGAGCATTCCATTCGCGCACACCCTTCGAATTACGAACCTTTACTTAGCTACTTTGCTTTCTTCCTGTGTCTTCCCCAGCATAAAAAATACCAGCATCTGCCCTTCAGGCTCGCGCTCAACCACGCTCTGCTTCCGGTGTTCAAACCAGATGTCATCCTCGCCCCTCGCACTTGTTAAGCTGGCACGCAACTTCCACAATCTGAGATCCCCTGTCGAATCACACATCGTAAATCCCCTGTTTTACTATATCGACATGCAAACTCTTCCAACATAACTACGCATGCATGCCTTTCTGCCTCGCACAGCCTTCGCGATCTTTCCAAATATGCCTAGTGCCTCACGAGGCCCGAGTATCTAACTCCCTGACCTTCTCCACTTTGAGCTCATTCTTATGGTCTCAGCCTTCAATCCTGAGTTCATTTCTGACTGCTATGACTAAATCGTGATGTTTCATATCCTAGGCCTCTCAATCTAGTTTTCCTACGCTTCTACTGCCCTGTCAATGCTTGCCCACCACATTTTCCCCTCCCATCATCTCCCTGCGGACGTGTTCTCAAAGAGCTCCAAGGATCGGCCTGGCAAGAAACATTCCATTAGATGTTGGGCGGGAGTGTGGAATGCAGAGCGACAGAGGCACGCGCGGGTCATGTTCAAGTGCCAGAGCGATTTGTAGAAGTGAGAGCGTCAAGAGCCGCATTCGCATAATCACGATGTACGAGATAAATTTTCTTTTCTCTATATCTATATCACTTCTGCATCAATATTCGCGGTCCAGTGCAGGTGAGCTAGATTAAGCATACTCTACTACTATTGTCACCATTCTCCTACGAGCCAAATACCCGAATCTTCGCTCTCCCAGCCATATACTCTAACCTCTATATTGCTCTCCTCATTTGCACTCTTGTATTCCTTTTCCTTGAGAGGGTCTGTATCCCTTATTTCCTCCCTTCCTTCCCATTTTGTAGACGATCATCTCTTACATCTATAATGATGTCATGTGCAGCTCGCGTTGCAATTCTCATGAGCTACCATTGTGTGTAATCGTGCTGTTGCAAACAACCCTGTGTGTAGCATATCATCGAAATTCTCTTAAACGCACATTCTCCTCACTTGGGCTCAAAACTTGCCTTTACTATCCACGCTTCTTCTACCTCATAACACTCGCTCCCTCTCTACCACACTTCCACTTCACTGCCTTATTCCTCCAGCGGGCGACTTCTCTCTACTCCTCTTTGTCTAGGCACTTTAAGTTTCGCATTCGTGAGCGCTCCTCACACTTTCCTCCTATACCTCCATGTTTCCTCTTGTCCTATGATACCTTTCTCCTTAATCTTTCACAGTAACGTTATGGATCCCCCTCTGACTTCCTACCATTCACCGCCCTCACACTCTTGAATCCCAATGCGAAGAAAATTGAATCCTCCGAAACTCCTCCCTGACTCCTTCCTCGGAAGAGAGCGATGGCATACCACCTCTTCTCTCCCTCATAACCATGCTCACGTTCCCATTTCTCACTACCTTTGCTTTCACTTGCCAATCTACACGGCTACAGCTGAGGTCTGTCACACATTTTCCTATCATTGTGCTCGTTATCGTAGGCAGCCGTGAGCGACATAGTCCGTGAGCCCGACGCACGTCATTCCCTCTCAGTCGCCTACCCATTGCTCATCGTCTGCGCCGTACAGTTAACTGTTCGCATAAAATCTCACTATACATTTGCATATATACACCCTTAACATGTCGCAATGGTACCTTCCTCCCGTCTTCTCTCAACGTTATCCCTAGATTGCGTATGCTCCCTGCATTTATGTTGTGTGCTAAACCCCACACTTGCAGTTCACATGCTGATCCCTCGCTTCTTAGACGCTATGATGATTATCTTCTCTGCAGCTAGTCCTGCAGCCTGCCTTATTGAATTCTTTACTCTTACTTATGAAAATGATACATACGCCCCATGTGACTGTATATTTATTGGAAATTCTCGCCTCCACCCCCCGTCCTCCTTCCACCACCTAGCTCACCACTCCGGATCGTCTCATCATCATCCCCTTCTTCCTCTCTTTCATGTCGATGGAGGGCGATCCTTTGTGCTCTCTCGACTGGGATAGAAAAAACCACCCGACTCGCAACGATCTGTCTGGACTCGCACCAGCCCGTACCACATAAGCAATATCCCAAAGCCACACTCCCTAATGCCGTAGAAGCCATCACTGCCAACCTCTAACTGCTAACTAAATCAGATGTTTACAAGCTTCTCCTCATCCACGTGTACTGATGATTTCGGCCCCCATGGTTCCCACCTAGTCCACACCTGCGCTGATTCCTCCTCCCTACCCTTCTCCTCGCACTGTCCTACCTTCCCTCTTCAGGAATATTTTTCACTCCTCTGCTCCCTCTCCACCTTCTCCTCCTCCACTTTCTCCCCATGCTCTTCTACGCTCCTCTCTCCACCTTCTCCTGCATCCTCACACTTTCCCCTCCTCCTCCACCTTCTCCCCGTCCTCTCGACCACTTCTTCCTCTGCCTCCCCTCTTTCCTCCACCTCCTCTCACTTGCCCTCTTCACCCTTCTCCCCCTCCCTCACATATGTCGCTCTTCCTCAAACACCTTCTTCCCCTCATCCACCTTCACCATTCCTCCTTCGTACCGGTCCACCTTTCTCATGCCCTCTCGCACCTTCTCCCACCTCTCCCTGCGCTCGCTCCACCACCGTCGTGCGCTCCTCTACCTCTACGCTCTCTCGCCACTACGCACACCGTGTAACACATATACCCCTCCTCTTCACTTTCTCCCCATGCTCGCTCTAACGCTTCCTCTCCCCACCTCTCTCCTCATCCACTCCCACTGTCCCCCCCTCCTTCTCCTCATCTTGCATTCCTCAGTCCTTAAACTCACGCCGGTTCTTAGCCCTTTTCCTCCACCTGCCTCTCCTTCCTCCTCACCCTCTTGTAACTGGTCCCTTGCCTCCTCTACTCCCGCATCTACAACACGTATCTCCCTTCATATCGCGCACCTTCTCGCCGCTACTCTACCTATGGGGGTCCCTTCACCGTTCTTCTCCCCACTTTAATCTACTCCGAGCGGCCCCTGCTACCGCTGCGGGCCCTCCACCGTTCTCCTCTTC